TAGATTTTATCTTTAATAACTAAAGTTCCCGGATAATAATTATATAAAGAAATATTATTTTATATTAAAATAATTAATTAGATTAAATTTAAACTATATTTATTTATATATTTTATAATATTTATCGAGTCTTCTTATATATTATTAATATTTATAAAATTAAGAAAGATCCCCTACTTTTATTATTAATATTATATATTAGCTCTAAACTATATATTATTATTAATTTATTAGTAGTTAAACTAAACTAATATATTATTCTTATTAATATTAGTAGTAATAATAATATATTATAGCTTTAATAGACTACTAGAGTCTTTAATTTTATCTAATATTAGTAAAATATTTTATTTTTATAGTAGAATATAGTACTTTAATAAGCTCTAATATAGAGCCTCTAGTACTAAATTAGAATAGTATTATATTAATATATAGTACTATAAAGTACTAATATATTATAGTACTAATTTATATTAATTTTAAATAATACTAATCTATTATAGTATTAGATATCTTTAATACTAAAAAACTATCTATATATAAATTAATAGAAATATATATATTTGGTTAAAATATTTCGGAATATCTATAGTATTTCTATTATTCCTTAATAAGTTGGTGCTTTTTTAAAGTACAGTTTCGGAATAATTCTTTCACCATTCCGAAAAACCCCCAGACGGCCCTATGGATGGATCCATTAAGGTTCGGGATTTCCGCGGAAGAACTGTTATTCCATGCCCGGACTTCCATGCCCGAGTCAAAACTTTAGCAACAAGCAAAGCTGAAGTCGAGCTCGAATGGATGATTGTTTCTAGCAGCTTTAAGAAGTGAATGCGCTTACGTGTGACATCATGGAGGTAGCCTTCAGATTGATACTGCGGAGGACCGTTCTCAAATCCCAGATACTGCGGCGAACAGCCCCCTGTCTTGTCTCGGTGCCAGCCTATGCCCGTCCGATCACGCACCGACATTTCAGCTCGACACCGCGGAGGACGGCGGACCCTAACCATGGGCCTTTCTTTGGCCTCGGTGCTGGAGGTTCGCCGCCCATGGGCACTCCTACGACGTACTTCTCTAGCCGTCCCTCATTGCCCGCAAACACTATAATCAGATTTGTACCCCAGCAGACAGCATGGATAGTGGAACGAATGGGGAAATTCAATCGTATCCTGGAGCCTGGGCTGGCTATTCTTGTGCCTTTCCTTGACAGAATTGCATATGTGAAGAGTTTGAAAGAAGCTGCCATTGAGATTCCGAGCCAGAATGCCATTACAGCAGACAATGTTACTTTGGAGTTGGACGGCGTGCTCTACACTCGGGTCTTTGATGCTTATAAAGCTAGGTTAGTGATCACGGAATTGATACTGGGTCGAGGGAATATACTGATATGCTATCTATAGTTATGGCGTGGAAGATGCCGAATACGCGATATCCCAACTGGCGCAGACGACAATGAGATCCGAGATCGGTCAACTGACTCTCGACCACGTTCTCAAGGAGCGTGCGGTTCTAAACACGAATATCACACAAGCCATCAACGAGGCTGCACAGGATTGGGGTGTGACTTGTCTTCGTTACGAGATCAGAGATATTCATGCTCCCGAGGGAGTCGTCGAAGCCATGCACCGTCAAGTAACAGCCGAAAGATCGAAACGTGCCGAAATTCTAGACTCCGAAGGTCAACGTCAGAGCGCAATTAACATAGCTGAAGGTCGTAAACAGTCGGTTATCCTTGCATCAGAAGCTATGAAGTCAGAACAGATCAACAAAGCCATGGGTGAGGCTGAGGCTATCCGCCTAAGAGCCGAGGCTACTGCTCGTGGAATTGATGCCGTTGCAACAGCCATCCAGGAGGGACAGGAAGCGGCTAGTGGCGCAATCAGCCTTTCTGTAGCTGAGAAATACGTCGACGCATTTTCCAAGCTTGCAAAGGAGGGCACCGCTGTTGTTGTGCCTGGTAATGTTGGTGATATGGGTGGTATGATTGCCAGTGCCATGGCAGTGTACGGCAAGGTCTCTGAAGGACAGGCTAAGACGATTGCTGCAAAGGCCATCCAATCTGGTGAGCCAATCACTGAGCAGAAAACTACATCCGATGCGCACACTGCTACAAGTAAAACCACCCACTTCGAAGATAGTGAGCATTCCTCAACCGATAATACCGGGACGCCCCGAAATGAAGTAGCGGAAAGCGTTCTCGGCGGATTTGAACAGGCCAGCCACCGAGACCGGTAGAAGGGTTGGTTGTCTATCTGCCTAACTACGACGCCATATGGCTGCTTCGTTATCTTTTTTATATCAGATTTACTTTACTCTCACCTGTGTTACAATGTACTACTAACGTTCCATACACTTGTATTCCTTTGCTGTTCAACTTGGTTTTCACCGCTCAATGTTTATTAGGAGCACTTGTACGATGGAAAAGTTATCTGGAGAAACTCTTCATCTTGTTGCTAACTACGGCGTATGATACAGGGCTTTGCTTCGTCTACTCACTGCTCATTTCCCGCTACTCGCCCTTTTTACGGCCTTTTTCAATGTAAACGGCTTTCTCGAGGTGAGTACAAATAGTTAAGGGTTTAGGTTTTTTGCCGAGATTTTCGACAACGACATTCGTAGACAACGACATGTTAGGATGACATCTACCATCTGCAGCTGCAACTACAAGTATGTTTGATAGTTGGTTGTACGATATCTACTACTTTACTGCTAAGCTCAGAGGCTACTGCCCACCCATGAATCATTTAGAAACCATAACCCTAGCCACCAGCAGCCCCCAATACCCAATACTCACTATGTCATCATTCACTTCAACCATGGAATATGGAAATTTACGTGAATAGGTGGCAACCCGGGAGGATTGGCCTCCTATAACTATTTCACTTCCCTTTGCACTCCTTTACTTTGGTTATGAAGGATTCTTCCCCCCGTCCCTCCAGCGAAACGCCACTGCACAGGCTCTGATAGTCGATTATCAAGAGCACGGATGCAATACCGCTTCAGGGATAGAAATAGATGCATCATTACAAGGTCTCTTAACCCTGTAGACGGAATCTATATTCTCCCTTACTCTTTGCGGTACTCACGAATACCCTAAAACCGCTACTACTAGTTCTAGGAATTACTCCGATACTTATAGACCAGGAGCTATATTAACGCCTAGATAACTACAATATTTCTAGGTAATACTATAGAGGTAATTGAAAACTTACTCTACTTTGCACTTATAATCTATTAGTGGCATTCCAAGGGCCTCTTTGTGTTGCAGACAATTCACCAGTCAGAGGACAGAAAGGAGCTTACTATCAAATTTCGCTGGCCCCCTGCATTTGGCTTAAAAGCTGTTATCTCCGCTACATTTAAAAATAAGTCTTAATCATTTGCACAACCGGAATACTAAACCTAACTTAGGCTCCATATATGCAATGGGCAAACCGGGGCAGTTAGGTTTTAAAGGTAAGTAAAGAGTCGGCTTCCTTTATCATGTTCGCAGCCATGTCCCTAACCTTCATAAGCCATATTCAGTCTAACCTCAAACTAGTGCAAAAATAACCAAGCGCAATGCCAAATCCTAGGGCCAATAGAGAATGTGTAATGCACAATCTCGTGGTTTGTGGTGCTGTTGATGCGCGATCTCCCATCGACGCGGCCATATTTTCAGGTTTTATGGGTACCTCAATGACCCTCGAACATGCTGCTGAGGGTGTTGAAATAACGGTCCTCTCCTGTTTTCCACTGGGTGAACACTTCAATTTTCTGGAAACTAAGGCTCCTCCAATAACTATCATCAAATGGGGAGTATTAGGGCCTAGCCAGACTCCATTGTTTACATACTCTAAAACACAATGGATAACAAGGTCTAACGAATGGTTCGAATATGTTAACCCAGAAGATATCTTTAAAAGAGTCATAGCCTGGATACAAGATAAAGCACATAGCGTGGCCGAAAATGATGTGATAAACATATTTTTCGAGGCACATGGAACAATGAATGGGGAGATATGCCTAGGATCTAAGTACCTCGAAACTTCCAAAGTGGCCGACTTACTCTCGCAATTCCCCACAAGCTGTCAAGCGAATGCGGTTGGACGTCATTGCTACTATGGACGGTTCCGCAATGTAATCAAAGCTGATGGTCAGATACCACGACATGCCATTGCCGATTGTGGACCCGTGGAAGCAGTACATTTTGCTGCCACACGTTCAGTCAGTAACAGAATCAGGATGATCCATTCCTCGCTCCCCTTCGTTCGGTCTCTGGCCCAAGTTAGTTTCCCATGGCTGCCTCGACAGGTCCATCCGCCTGTACCTACGGCTGAACATGAAACAACTCTAAGGGAGGCAATACGGAGAATCACTCCATCGCTCGCCCGGGAGTGTCAAGCCGAAACTTATGCTTCCAGTCTATCACCAGAGATCAGGGCATCAGTGGCACTATTGGAAGAATTGGTTTTGCGTGATCATGTTGATGTCATGTTCCTTAAGCAAACAGTCAACAGAAGACGACGCTCAGAGTGGCCTACCCTTGACCTTCAACTAATGCAGCAAACACGCAGGGTCATACCTCCATCTAGTGGCTCTCTAGCTAGGAGAATCCAGGAGCATGTCCATGAAGCTGCTGCCGACTGTGACTTTGATAATGCACTGAGGGACGACGGTCCGATTTTGGGACGACTAGAGTACCCGAACACCCCATATGATGGCATACTACGAGCCCTTTACTATAGAGGTAGAGCGCAATCTGCAGTGTGGGATTTATTTCTTATCCTCTGCGAACAAGGTTTTTTCAATCTTGAGGCAAGCTTGGAACAGCCAATAAATTGCTACTCAACTCCTGAGTCGCTGTGCAACGTGTTGAATTTACTACTGTGCTTAAAGAGCCGTACGAAGCTGAAGCTTGTGTACCAAATAATTCCAACACCAGCTTAACTACTTCAATTCAATGGCTTGCAGTGATGATATCACGGGGATGTGCTGAGCCACAGCGACTGTTCGAGACTATCCATTATACACGAATTCTTGGCCCATTGCTCGAAAGTGAAGTAAACAAATTGCTTCACGCAAACAATGGTCCCATTTCCTTTGAGTGTGATCCCAAGATGGTTTCTGGATACTCCCCACCACCTTTTAGTTTTTGGCTCCCCTCTGGAGTTGGCAACGACCCCTCACTGATCCCTGACATCGTTATCAAAAGGCTGGCTCTTTTTAACGAGGTGGAAGCTCTTTTCAAGGAACTCCTCAGACTTGGTGACGCAGAGCTGAACTTGGGGCTGCAACGGCTCGCGATTGGACAGGGCTAAAAGCTCAAGCACATTTTAGGCGCTCGAGGGGCCATTGCGATAGTCACCACCAGGACCTGACTGCCAATAATAACTGACAATCTGTCGAACGTGCTGGAGCAATATCGGGATCGCATCAGTGAAACTTATAAGAAAGTCAATTTCATCGAGACCCCGCAGTCTACCCTTGCTAGAGCAGGCCTTACTCTCTAAGGCCTCCGTGACTTAGTTATGGGGTGTTGCAACTCATTTCCGTTTGTCTCGTTGGCGTAGTCGAATACTGTCTCTCGCGGTCCTCTCTGGCAGCTCTTGACAAAACATAAGACTACATTCGCCCATCACCATCACAACAATGTTCACCACCAACCCCTCAATCTCGGGCTTGTTCCCTCGATGGGTCCGAGCCCATGCAGAAGCGGTGCAGTATAGTTAGCTTTTCGCCACAATGGCTTGTTGGTGCTAAGCAACAGGGTGTGGAGCAACCAAGAGCAAGCTTGATGCTTAGCCCGAAGGTTCAGGACGCCACGTATCCTCCCCCTCCTTTTATATTCTTGTGCGGCTTTTCCACAGGCTGCTGGTGGAGGTCTATGCAGATGATATATCTTGCTGGAATGAGAGAATTTTGGAAAAATATATACAGCAATTAATTAACTCACTCTCCTGCCTGAAGTGTGAGACTGATCATGGGGGGCTGGAATTTAGATTCTGACGATAACGCAGAGGATAATCGTCAGCTAAGCAGCGGAGGGATAGCATAGATTCGTCATTAGACCCTGTACGGCGTATTAATTACTGTATTGTCGAATCGAATATCAAACCGAGTACCGTTTGGTATCTACTCTAGTCTGTTTAAGGGGCATCAGCCACACGGAGTAGATATCTAATATTCCTGAACGGCATTAGCCCAATCCCTCTCGAATGCTCAGGGCACTTCCAGGCTTATTTAGGTATATTGGACACTATTGAGATGGTATGAATCTCTGTAGTGGAGTTTGATAAATTGTGACATGGCAGCCCACGGTACAGTGGCATACGCAAAGTACATCGTGGAAAACGGTATGTTGCGAGGTTGCAGCGCGAACAGCGCAATACACTGATCCACTTTAACTATGAACAGATGGAATGCTGAGCTAGCATTGGAGGTATCTGTAGCAATAATAACATCATTGCCCCTCCATGGTCCTTGAGATCCATCCCGAAACGTAGGCGGGTTGAGAATAGGGGGGCCCACACGGATATCACGGACGGCATCAATGGCTGGCAACATGTCTATAAATTCACCGTTATATCCCCGATGAGCCGTTGTATCTTTGGATTTAGTATCAAACTGCATTAAATCTACCTACGTATTAAAACTAGCCACAGCAATCATGGGTTTTTTCGAGAGTAAGATAGCCCCTTTTCTCCGGCTGAATTGCAGGACGAGGTTCACTAAGTGACACTGCTTGATAGATTTCTCCAACCATGCCGATGCTCACAATGAGGTCATGAATGCCCCTCACAAGGCCTCCCTATCTCACGAGCTGATTGCCGGTGCCGCCGCCTACGAGGCCGCAAAGGCCTATGAGGACCACGTCCAGAAGAATGGTAAGGAGCTAGCCGGCCCGTTTTAATATGACTGCCCAGCTAGTTGCTTACGGGATATACAGGAAAGCCAGACAGCCATGCTAAGGCCAAGGAGATCCTCGCTGGCTTCGCTGGGGCTTTCACAGACCGCATGATCGAGACGAAGGGCCTTGACTACATTGATAAGGAGAGGGTGAAGCGCCAGGCCCATGAGCATGCTCAGGATGCCCTTGGACGGGAGTACTAGGTCCGTGGCTTGGTGGGATGATTGATGATTTTACGTAAATATATCATTATAATCAATGAACACTGCCAAGAGAACCAGAGAGTTTTTATTTACTATCTAGAATATCTCTACCAGTCAATGCTGGCAATGAGATAACCTCCACGATTAACGTGGAGTGGATTATTCGTTTCGTAATGTTGAAATTAAGTCTATGACATTTACCATACCTGTGCCCTTTTTGCCCTTGATTTTGATGTTGAATAAACGGAGTAGAAAAAGAAGAAAAGGAAATCAGCTAAACCAAGCAAAAAAAGCACGCTCCCATGTTCACGTTTCAATAACTTAATAGCGGTAGCTGTAGGTGGTCAATTGG